TATTTGGATCAAGCTTTTTTTATAACCTGTTATTAATAAAGTTCTTAAATATGATATACTAAAGTATGAGCATTGTGGATAGTTTATATAAAGATCAAATTTTATTTGTCATTTAGATAGACTTTTTGTACTTTTAATATCTAACCAAAGAAGTTTTTAAGAAGAATAATTAGTAAAAATTAAGAAACTAAACTATATAACTATAAAGTTTACAAGAAGAACTTCATATATCTCATTGATTTACTATTTTTTTTAAAAAAAATTTTTGCAAAAAATAGATATTTTAGTTTATTACTTCCAAAAGATTAATATTATATATAACAAAATAGTCAATATTATTTATTTTCTAATTGATAAAACAAAATAACAAATATATTAAAGTATGTACCTCAAATATAACAAGCTAATAAACAATGCTCTGAGATTAGAATCAAGTATTGATCTTTTATATAGTTCTAGTTGATAAAGTTTTTTTTACTAATTTTTAACTTTTATATACTATTTAGATAAATTTAGAATAAAAACTATAGTTGAACTCTCTAAATACAATTTTTATAAATACAATATCTCTCTAAATATATGTTTTTGTTTTGGCTATATAAAATCATTAATACTAAATATATATTTTATATTCTGCAAATACATATTTACTCTCAAAAGATTTTTTATATTATACTAATCTTTCTAAATATATATAGCCAATTAGAAGTTAGTATTTAAGTTTATTATATAAACCTGCAGATCAAATATTAAAACTACAATTTAACTAGCTTTCTCTAAATGCAAATCTCTCTAAATATATAATTTAAACTGGTCTGTATATATTGTATTTATAAAGATTTGACTATAGTTATCTAATAGTATATAATTTTTACAAGCCTTTTATAGATTTATAAATATAATATTAGAATAGACAAATTTTTTTTTATTTTTGATACTTTTCTATCTTTTTTTTTCTTGCTTGTATATTTTATTATTTTCCTTTATATCTTTGTATTTTTTTTTTTAGTTTTTTATCTGTTTTTTTTTATTTGACTTTTTAACAAAACAGTGCAGCTATTCTAGCTAATAATTAAAGGGCTCAAATTTTCAGAAAGTTGAAGATCTGATGTAAAACAAATTGCTATTAAATAGTATCAAAAATATAGTATAAAAAATTTTATATCTATTAACAATAATTTTCTAATACTTCTAATAAAATAATAAAAACAAGATTACTAAATATAAAAAAAATTAAATGCTAATTTAACTATTATAATTTATTTTTAAACTTCTAAATTTAAATACGATATTACTAAAATATATCTTTGGTGTTTAACACTATATATATATAATATATATTTTAAAATAGTTATATATATAAAATTAATATATATTGTACTACCAACAATTATTATAATTATTAATAACCATTTATTTGTATAACATTTCTTATATATTCTATACTAACAATACTGGTATTTTGTTCACAATAATAGACAACATGGCTAAACTAAATATTGAAAATTTTATATTTACAAGTTTTAATATAATTGCCTATAAGTGCTGTAAAGCAGCACTTATAGACAGTTTACCTGTGGTACTTTTTTTAATAATATCCCATCACACAACTTCTTAGACAGCCAATTTATATAACAAATCGAAAACTACCAATCAAATATGTATTAGATAATTATACAAACATGTGTAAACATACATGTAACCAATAAAGAAAAATCCAATAAATATATATATATATTTGTATCAAGCAAACATTAATTATACCAATACAGAAAGTTTATAAATATGACAAACACATGATAGCATAAAATCCAAATGCTTTTGATATGCAATATACAATGTGCTTATTGTTATACTTACATACTAATTTTTAGAATCACATGTATGAGTATTATGACCTGCTTGTCTACAAGCACCACAATGATGAAGTCTATTGACGATTGGATTTTTGTCAACTGAATACATAAATTCAATCATTAGCATGCTAATAATTTATGTTTTGATGATATAGTATAAATCTAAACTTACTTATGCTTATTAAATCTGAATTTTCAATACTATTGATATTTTCCTGATCAACAGAGTAATCTCCAACTATATTATTGCTTGATTTGTTTTTACTATCTGAATTGTATATACGAGCATTGTGGCCACTTTAATTACATATTCCACAATGACGCAATATATTCTCATGATTAAGATCCTTGTTAGCTATGATATATAATAATTGGCATTAATATTACTATTCTCTTCTTGAATAATGCAAATTTTTAACTTACCTATATTTAATAAACTTGAATTCTCAATATAATTCTCTTGCATACTGTCTATCTGATTAATTGAACCATTCAAATTGTATGTATGTGTATTGTACCCTATTTGGCCACAAGTACCACAATGACAAGATCAGTTTTTTTAACTTTCTTGGTTTGTAATATCTTGCAATTGTTTTCTATACATATTCAATATATCATTATGATTTATTTGAATTGTGCTGCTTGTTTTTGACTTAAGTATATCCAAATTTGCATTTTTTCATTTTTGACTTTTAGAATGAATGCCAACAAGATTGTTAATCATAATTATAAAATTATTATGATTATTGTCTGTCTTGAGTTCTATTTCCATTTCTTTCATTAGATCAAGATGCATTTCATATAACTCTTCATACCGCCTTGTTGCAATTGATAAATTGAGAACTTTTTTCATAATGCCAAATTCTTTGCCCTATTATTGCTTAAATAACATTTCTTTGTGAATTTTATTGATAAAAATATGACTCCTATGAATTTTTTTAATATGCTCAAAATTGACATAAATGCAATATTCAAACAATTCAAAATTATTATATATTGCTAAAATTGCTGGCTGATTTGCAACATCTATCTCTTTTTTATACACTATCTTGTCCAAAAACCATCTATTAGATATGAGTTCAACATGAAATTTTGCAACTTTTGATACTAGCATCACCATGAAGAAGTGCTGGCAAATAACTCCACAATTAATTAGTGTTAAACAGATACAAAGATGTATTGCCTCATTGCATAAAACTACAAAATACTGGTTCTTTGCATCGATAGATGAAACTTTCCAAATTTCATGAATATATTCATAGTTTAAGTTACTAATTAGTTCTTCTAGTTCAATAACGAATGCATCAAATATATCGTCAGTGAATATTCTAGTTGATACTTCATTAGTTATCTAAAAAAAAAAAAAAACAAGTTTAATCTAACAAATTCTATTCGAATATAATTGCAAGTAATAATTTAATTATTTATTTATACAAGTAATACAAAACAAATACAAATAAACCTTTTCTATACTATTAATGAGAACTTGCAGTAAAAACTATGTTAAAATAAAAAATATACCTGACATTAAAATTTATCTACCAAATTAACTAACTGTGCTTGATAATAGATATTGCAGTTCATTTCATAATGCTAAATTTTAATAATTGCTACTGTCAAAACTTTTTGATATGACTCATCAACCAACTTAAAATATCTATCACAATAATTCTCATTATGAATCACTGACAATATACCTTTAACCTTATTAAAATGTTGATATTTATCTTCTTTAATAAGTAACCTCTCAATTGTGTTACTCAATTCAAATAGAGATGAAGAGCCATTGACATGTTTTTTTATAATACCATTATATAATTCAACCTGCTAAGTAGTTTGTATACTGGTATTAAATGACCTATATATAAAACAAAGCACCCATACTTCCTAGCAGAGATAAAGCTATTATTCCATATATGATACTGATTCAGGATACTTTTATATCAGATCTCCCCAATGTTTCTCAAATATAGATTCTACATAGCTATTTCATGTATAGCAAAATTCTCTAAAAAATTCTCCCCACTTTTTGCCCTTATACATACTCAGAAAACATTTTTCAAGATTTTTTCGTATATGAAAAAGACAAAAATAATGTTTTGTAGTTGGTAATATTGCACTTATAGCAGCAACTATAGCACAATTAGCATCCGTAAATAGTACTTTTGGTGCTAAACTATTTGTTGCCTTGAGCAAGTTTTCTAAAATCTATGAGAATGTTTCTGTTGTCTCATCTGAAATAAATGTGGTTGCTACTAGATACGAATAGTTGTGATTATTAATAACTATTAAGACACAAAACATTATAGAATAATGATTTGTTTTAAATATCATATCCATGAGAACCATATCATGAAATCTACCTCACAATTGTATTTGACTGGATGTCATCCACATAAAAGCAACTAAATAATTATTTGTTTCTTTAAACTTTGCCTCAACAAAATAACTAGGATCATCATATTGTTTTTTAATCAATTCCAAGTATGTGCTGCCTGCATTATTTGCAATATGACTTTCATAACAGATCATTTGTATTATGTTATATACATTATGAGCATGAATGTATTTTCTAGGTTTTTTTGTTGTAGAATCTTGATAATTGAACCGGCTCTAATGCTACAAGATAAGAGCAATCTAATATCATCTTGTATCTTCTTTGTTAATCTTCTATATCTTGATTTAACTATAGTAATATTTTGAATCATCTCATAATTATGTGTACTGACAATACTTGAAATGCAGATTTGGTTATTATTTTTCCACGATATAGATTTACGTAAAAGAAATAACCTATGGTTTTATGATCCTGATCCCTCTCATCAAGTATATATGCTTCTTTATATGGCACATATTTCCATCTTTTTGTATATGTATGGACATGCTGCTGAGATGTCTCATCAGATTTGTTATTTTCACTATGTATAATACTAAATGCAAAGCCCAATTCCTGACCATAACATTCTAATCAGCTATTGAGTTTATATAAAAAAATAATAATTATTCTTAAAAAAAACAGTAGATTTAAATAGATCTTTTTTTTAACATAAATATACTTGTCAACAGCTTTTCAAGACTCGAAAACCTGATTTTTGACTAACGGATAGGCAAATCTTGTATTTTCTTCATGTTTTTCATGATTATCTAATTCTGATTCATGTTATCATCCATCCCTTCATCGTTGTAAAAATCTTCAGAGATCTCATTATCATTCATGTCGATACTCATAAAACTTTCATTATAGTTCATATCGATACTCATAAAACTCTTATTATTATTCACACCAAAATCATTATCAATATTGAAGAAATCCAAGTTATCTATAGCTAATAGTGAGGTGCTCAAGAGAATATTAACTTACAAAAAGAAACTGACAAAAAAATAGTAACAGAAATAGAAGCGATAACAATTTATAAAACACATGACTCAGAAAGAAAAGAGGTATTAAAAAAAGTAACCCAGAGAAAAATACCAGAGAAAGAAAGTAGTTAAAAAAAAAAAAAGTTTAGAAAGAAAAGCAAACTGGAAAAAAAAGACAAATCAGAAAAAAAAAACTAGAAGAGAATATAATCTAAAGGCTATATGTGACAAGAAAGAAAAAGAGAAATTGATATAAAAGAAACAGCAAAAGCAAAAAAAAATCACGGTAAAAGTGACATAATGAAAGCAAAAAAGTGACCAAAAAAAGCAGAAAGTGAAACAAAAGAGACAGTAAACTTACCAAAAAAAAGATACGATGAAAGCAACATGAAAGAGACAGTACAAGCAACAAAAATAAAAAAAATAAGGCATAAAGAAAATGTTAGATAAAATCGAAACTGCAGAAACAACAAGACCAGTAGATACAACAAGGTAAAAATGACACGATAAAAGGTGCCATGGTAAAAGCAACACAGTAAAAGCACTATGGTAAAAGCAACACAATAAAAGCACAGTGCGAGCGATACAGTAAAAGTACAATAAAATTGGCACAGTAAAAATAACAAGGTAAAGATAGCATCACAAAAATGGTACTGTAAAAATGAAACTACAAGAGTGATATGTTAAAATAACCAAAGTGAAAGTTATATTGTAAAAATAGAACAATACTATAAAATGCTATAGTGCAAAAAAAAATTGTAAAATTATCTGTAAAAGGCAAATAAATATTAATAAAATAATCTTTTATTGTATAACAAATAAAAAAATTATGTAATATGTGATGATCGATCTAATACATACAGTAATAAATAATAAATAGTTTATATAACCATTGGTGCTGATCACTATAGAGTTATTTTATAACATTTGTTTAAATAAGCCTTAACTACTTTGATAAATTTTAAACTATATATAATTATATTATTATAATATGTATCTAAATCTCTAGTCTTAATATTTTTTAAATATAAAATTTAAATATATTTTTTATATTGTAATATAGTGAAATTTTATTAGTATATTTTATATTTTATTAGTTAAATATTTTTAGTACATTTTAAATTTTTATTAGTCAATTTTTATTAGTCGAATTTTATTAATTATTATTCTTATATATTTATTATAGTTTTTTGTTATATATTTTATATTATTATTCTATATTTTATATTTTTATTAGTTTATTTATATAGTTTACAATATATTTTATTTATTTTAGTCACTC